GCAGCTCCAACAGGCTTCCCAATAAGCAACAGACTGCAACAGGTTAAGCTCTTCTGGTCTGCAGCAATCAAATTGTATCAAACCCCAATCCCTCAAAGAGGGTGACCCTCCGTGGCAATGAAAAAGGCAAGCAACAAGCAACAGAGTAGGCTCCTGCAGCAATCAGCATGACCCAAGCACAAAGCTCAGGGACTCCATCCAATGACAATCAGCTGCAGAATAAGGGACAGGACTGAGTTCCCTCTGGGGCAGTCAGTGGCAGAGGGTCAGCAGCACAGGCAGCTCCCAGGGGTCATTGCTCCAAACCCCTGCTCCAGATGACTGGCCGGGTGCCCCACACACCTCGCGGCTCACCAATCCCGCTCCGAGTGCCAGCCTGTGCCCCGAGCTTCCAGGGACCCTTGTCCTGGCACTCTGCTGCTCCTCAGGATCCCAGTGCCTTGCCTGCTGCTGTCCTGCAGGGAAGGTGAGGGGTTTCCTTAACTCACCGGCCCAGCTCCCTGCTCCGGATAAGGATGCCGCCTACGCTTCTGGCCGCTGCCTCTTCTCCGCAGTGGAGTGGGGGGCCGACTGCCACCCCTGGCCTCCGGGATGCCTGGCATGTCCAGCCCACTGCGATGGGGTCTTGGGGCACCAGCTCTCTGCCCCAAGCCCTGGCCACGGCTCCCCCTCCTCTGCAGAGCTGGTGGCACGGCCGACTGCTGCTGTCTTCTTCTCCCAGGGCCTTCGAGGCTCTTCAGAGGGGTCTCCCTGCTTCCTCTGCTGGATCAGCTCACCCCAACTCTTCTTAGGCCTCCTGCGTCGTTCCCCAAAGTCACTGTCAGCAGCCCCCAGGCCAGTTCGGCTGCTGCTTTTATCCCCTCCGGCAGTCCCCCCCTGGCTTGCAAACTGGCCAACCACGGCTTGGGGTGGCGGGCCCCCCAACCCCGGCCATCCCCCCTCCATGCGAATGAGGGGATTGAAAGCCCCCTCTTTCGATTGGCTTCTCCTTCTCCACAGGGCAGGGCTCCCCGCTCCACCCTTGGGGTCGCTCTGAGTTCACCGGCACCGTTTCTAGCCCAGGGAAAGTATCTCAAGCCAATCTGGTGAGCCCACACTGGCAGTCTGTTACATCAGAAACGCATTTAGCTAGGGCCTGGATGAAACAGACTTCAGCTTATTCGGTTGTCTAACGTACAGTGCAGCTGAACTTCGTTTTTATCCTTTCAGGACTGGGGCGAAATTCCTTTAAACTTCCCAGTCAGTTCAGTGTCTCTGATTGGCTTGAAATGGTGTTTGCAGATGTATTTTCACACCCAGACCCTTCTCTTTTCTCCACCCCGCCCCTTCCCTCCACACACACTTACCACCTGGGGGAGTGTGTGTCCTTTTGTATGTCTGCATCTGCATGTGTGTATGTGTCTGTCCCCTGCCTGCTCAGTAGCAGCAGGCACATGGCATTGCACGGCTCTTGGGGCAGCAGCAGCGGGGTGCAGAGTCCAGCCTGTAGCAGCAACTGCCTCTGCCCTGTGCACAGATCTGGGGGGGTCACGGGCCCTCCGGGCCTCTGCTGGGGTGCAAACTGTGGTGGGAGCTGCCCCCCCATGCCCTCCAGACAAACCGCTCTCACGGCTCCATCCCACACCCTGCCCCAGCTGTGTAGCGCCTGCCTCAACTCCGGCCCCAGCCTCACTCCCACCCTCACCCTCACCACCAGGGCCTCTATCTGCTGTCCCCGCTGGAAAGTAATAAGAAAAAAATATAAAGGGGTACATGAGCTGAAACTTTCAGGCAGAAGGGGTACACTTGTTAAAAAAGGTTGAAAACCCCTGTGGTAGGGGGTGTCTTGAGGCCCTGGAGGATGACAACCCTATAGCACTCCTACCTCTTGTGCATGTGCACATCTGGGAAAAAGGGGTTTCACATCATCCTAATCCATATCCATTATCAAATAACAACACATTGGTTCCTTTTGCTCAGCTCCGAGAATTGTTCCCTGACTTGATTTTAGAGGTTGGTAAAACAGGTAGCTAACTTGAGGGCATGATATATCAAGCAGAGCTTTCCACTGAAAAAAAAAAAATATTCATATTAGATGGGTTACCTTTCCTGCAAAATGTTCTACTTTAGATTGTGTTTGAGAAGATGAAGAGCTTCTGAAGGTGTTTCATTTTGATTTTTCAGAAACAGCAGCATATTTGCCTGTATCAAGTACTGCACCAAACATGCAAAAGGAACCCTCAGTCATACTGTAGCAGAAGTTTGCCAGGCTCTTTTGCACTGGTTATACTTTTCAAACATCTTACCAAATCTTCAGACACCAAGTAGAAACAACATTTTGGGACCTCAGTTTTCTCTAGAGAGCTGCACTGAGGAGCCATTCCCATTTTCTTCTGACACACAGGGTATAATTTGTTTGTTTGTTATCTGTACTGACCTAATTTATAGTTAGTGACATTTTTTCCTGAAACAGGTGAGTTTAATCTAGGCTTTAGATAGCTCTTTCAGTTCTAGTTATCTTACTTGCAACAGTAGTATGTGCAAAGTATTCAGATGGAAGTGTGAATTTTCAATCTGGCACGGTTCCTTCAAATTATCTGCATGCCCTTTACTGTACCGGGCACAGGAAGTGTGGTCCTTATCCCCAGGAGGTTAGCTTGATTACATGCAGGATGGACGCAAATATCACAAATAACATCTCCTCTCAGTTTACTGAGCTCTGCTCAATAACAGGGAAGGAAACTTTTAAAATACAATCTTTTTTTTCTCTTTAGGTAACATGACTTCATGCTTGACTTAGAGTCAAAGGCTGGGCTCTGTTTCTTAGCTTTGCCATTTGGGGCACGTCACACAACTTTCTGAGCCTCCCCTTATGAAGTAGCAATTCATTTTCTGTGGGGTCAACAGGAGGGTTAATTTGTTTACGCTTGTAAAGTACTTTGAAATATTTTGTCAACATGTGATTTCTGCTTCCTCTTCTCTGGGTGTGAAGTTCCTCAAGCCACAGAGTCCGTGCACATCATTTATAGCTGCTGGAGCGTGGGATTTGGGGAAGACCGTGTAGGACATTGTGGAGCTCTGTTCTGCAGCAGCTGCTTGTCTTATGGTACTTGTAGGGATGACTGACATGCACTGGGGAGTCTCCCCTTCATGGGCCTCTGTAGGGCTCAGTGTAGGGCTGTATGAGCTTAAGTAGTAGTGAGAGGGACTCTAAAGCCTTTTAGCAACTTAGCAGGAAGGATTTTTTCTTTCCCACATCCTAGGGAGTCCCAACCAAGTACACAGGCTTTATGCTGAATGGAAAGATGTGGGTCCAAGTATTTAGTATCATCATTGTCTTGTCACAACAGTAATGGCTTTGTTTTGTGCTAACCCTTTGCCCGGCCCCTGAGACATGTGTGCCCATTATATGCGTTTTCCCTCTAAAACACAGCCCTCTAGTCATGGCTAGCTGGGAGCTCTCCAGACAGCCAGGAGTTGCTAATCCTAACATGCACTTCCCCACCCCCTCCCTTCATAACTTGTGATCAGAGCGCCATGAAAGTATGCGAGCCCCTCCTCCAGCCCAGACCTACCCCTCTCTGCACGGGAGCTGGAATCCATGTCAACCAGAGGAGAGAGAGAAAACTTTTTCACTGCCCTTTATAGGAACTTTAAGCTTAGCCTGCCAAATGCCTTTAACCAAGCAGAATTTCAGTGAGGTGCTTCTACCACCACCAGAGGCGGACAATGCCATGAGGGACGGCATCAGAGAGAAGGAAGACTCTGTCTTAGCTGGGGAAGATGCCTTTGGATCAGTGGAGCCTGTCAAGAAGCCCACAGGCAGGCTGGTTATGCACAGCATGGCCATGTTTGGCCGGGAGTTCTGCTATGCGGTGGAGGCTGCCTTTGTTACTCCGGTGTTGCTCAGTGTGGGGCTCCCCAAGCACCTCTACAGCCTGGTGTGGCTCATCAGTCCCATCCTGGGCTTTGTGCTGCAGCCTGTGGTGGGATCAGCCAGTGACCACTGCACTTCGGGCTGGGGAAAGCGGCGACCTTACATTCTGGCTCTGGGCGTCATGATGCTCCTGGGCATGGCTCTGTACCTTAATGGGGATATGGTGATCTCAGGTGAGTGACCTGAGCGAGCTGGCAAAGCTCATCTGGCTTTTTGCAGTGGGAAGAAAAGAGGATTTTCTGTCCTTAATTGAAGGTTAGGAATGGAGACAGCACATTACATATCTTGATTGCACCGAACAAATGGAGGAATGATCTGTTCCTTATGCAGGTTCAATGGTAACCCTGCCTGTTGCCAGCTTGTTCCGTACGCTCTGTGCATGTGAATACAATGTATTGTGTGTCTGTGTGCTTGCCTGCTACATTCATAAAAGTTGTAATAGCCAGACCCAGAGAGGTTTTAAATAGCTAAAACATGACTTACGAAGATTGATGATAGGTCTTATGTTCATGATTCACTTCAAATCTGACCATCTGCAAAATGAATGTGTTGGTTTCACCCCTCAACAAACATCTCAAACAGGACTTGGCATTCAAGCGAATTACTTTAATTATTCACGTGTTTAATTCATCACTCTTTTATGATGCAGGATAATAAATAGTAACTAACTCCTGGTGACTGTTTTGCATTTTGAATGTTGTGCAAAGCTGAATAGGAATAAATTTGTAAAGGCTGTGAATATTACAGCTGAAGTTGTAATACTGAAGTTCAGCTGTCTCAATGTAGTGCTATTTTGCTATTACAACAAGTGATTCTGGAGAAAAATACATGTCTCCATACCAATGTTTTCTGTGCTTTTAACATTCCTTGGTGCCAGCATACGCTGAACCTTGTGTGCCCATGTAAGGATGGTATGTGGAGACACTTGGGGAGTAGTAAAATGTCATGTTCCAGATAATTACCCTGTTGCATTTAGTCTCTATAGCAAACTACTGCAAAACAGGAGGCGGTTGTAATAAGTTTGTTCTTCCTCTGGCAGCTCTGATCACCAAGAGAGGCCAGCAACAACGGACCTGGGCCATAGTCATTACCATGCTGGGTGTGGTACTCTTTGATTTTGCAGCTGACTTTATTGATGGCCCCATCAAAGCTTATTTATTTGATGTTTGCTCTCATCAGGATAAAGAGAAGGGTCTTCATTACCATGCCTTCCTCACAGGTACGTCAACCCTCCCTCTTTCACTGTCTCTGGGTGTGATGAAGGAAACCGCCTGAACTTTTCTCTTTCACTGCACTTTTGATCGTCTTCAGTGAACTGATCATCTGATCTTGTGCCCCAGTCACGAGTGTTTTATTGCTGGGTTTCCTTACAGAGGCATTACTCTTGTGACTGTAACTGCAGGGGTTCTGCTGCAGAAAGCTTCTGTCAAATTTATAATAAAAAAAAAAAGGTTGGATTACATGAAGGGAAAGTAGACAAAACTTGCTCACCCCTCTCTCTAAAATAGAATAAAGTGATTTTTCCAGCCTTGTGTTAACTTTTACTTTGAGGAAAAAATCACAAGGCATGTAAACTGTACATTTTAAAAAATGTACAGTTGCTTCCATGATGTGTATATCCAAAGTTATTAAAGTTTAATGTTACACAAGGACTTTATAAACACCCTGTATATTGTGAAAGGCTCTAAACCATTAATCTCCATGTTGACAAGGGTAGGCAAGAGTCATGTAAGTTTGCCTGTACTCCTGAGACTATGAAAGGGATGTCCACACAGCCCTCGATAGGCCAAGGTATGAAGCCAATAACGGGAACAGACAAGGTGAGAGGTTACATGACTCCACGTATACTGATTTCATGGCCCACTAGCCATAGGCAAATAGAACATAAATTCTGGGTCGGTTCTGGCTAAGAGGATGAAGCTGTGCCGAATCACGTTCCCTATTGTGGCAGGGCACTGTTGGTGCCTGCCACTTTAAGGGCTGGGTCAGGCATCCAGCAAGAGCCTAATGGCAGCAGCCATTTTAAGAACCTATTGTATAAAGGCTGCAGTCTGTTGCTGCCAGTCCAGGCAAAAACATTGCCTAGCTGAGCTGCAGCAGGAACAACCCTGGAGGTAAGGGCAAGAGCTTATGGGGATGGCGAGGAGGCTCTTGGTCCTGGGCATGACCTAGAATTGCATCCTGCTGGGGATGGGTGGCCTGGTGGGGCTCCTGGTAGTGCAGGAGTCCCCAGGAAATGTCAGGCCAGTTACTACCTGGTGAAAGGCAGGTCAGGGAACCTTAATTACCACAGCTCCCACAACTGGGTGGGTAACCCCATGGTAGGGCTGAGAAGGTAGACCCATAAGAGAGAGTGGGCTAGATGCGTAAGAAGCCAGACTTGAGGCACCTTCAACTGGTCAATGCTGGGGCCTGGACCAGAAGGATTGAAAGGGCCAGGGGCCCACCATGAGGGATGCCCAGAGCTGAGGGTCTGGGATTCCAACTGGCCTTGAAGGTGAGGCCAGGGCCTGTGGCTAAAAGTCCTGGAGGGCCATGCCTGAGAGGGGGAAGAGTACAGGGAGCTTGTCAGCCCCAAATGAGGGTGGAGTAGGCCGCCTGATAGGAGGGTTTTGGTTAAGGTCCAGACTGGAGTGTTATGGGCCCAGTGTGGGGCTGGAGATGTTAAGAACTGAGATGCCATCTGCAAGGCATGAGCTGCAGTATAGGAGAGGCTGGAGCTGCAGATAGTGCTCCCTGGCATTGGGGCTGTAATAGGCAGTCTCCCACATTGTTGTTTCTGTAAACTGTTGATATAAAGCTGTGGCAGACGAGACTGGGCTGATTGGCCATAGAGACAGGTGGGCAGCTAGCAAAAGATCTGGTCCTGAGCTTGCCCCGTTACAGTGGTGCATTGGCCAGGAACATTAGCCCAATGGCCGAGCACAGTAGTACTTTCTCCCCTTGTAGGGGTAATGTTTGAGACTCCTGAAGGAGAATAGGGCATGGAGCCCACAATTATGAAGTTTAGTAGAGACAGCAGAAGGGCCCTGCACATAGTAGGGTTGAAATGGGAACAGGCCTAAAGGGCTGTGCATGAGAGGGGACTGAATAGGGCTGAACAGGGAGTAGGCCTGAAGGGCAGTGCCAGGGGTGTGCGCCGAATAGGGCCAAACTCTGAGTAAGCTTGAAGGCAAGCACAAGGGCTAGCCCCTGTTGTGTAAATGGAAGAGCTAATTGCCCAGAGAGGGGCCAGTGGCTGGTGTATTAATAGAGGGCTGAAAGCCCAGGTTACTGAGGTGTGATGTGAGTTTCATATGGCGGGAAGTGTTCTAAGCACTTCTCAGAATTAGCAAAAGATCACTCCCTTTGGCAAAATGCTGCAGGCATGCGATTTAAATGCAACATATAAGGAGGAGGGTCACAATCATACAAAGGAGTAAATGAAGGAAAACAAGACAAAGATGAAAATAAGGTCACATGGCTACTAGGCAAACCATATGCTTATCATGTCAGCCCAGATGCTTCCCATTTTCAGCAATGATGGCAGAGACAACTGGGCAGAAATTGTTCTCAGCCCTGAGGCCTCCACATGTAGTTGTAACTGTAGAGCCACACTGGAGTTAACGGGGATCCAGGTATGTGCGTATCAGCTGGCAGGACTGGGGCTATGTGCAGACACACTTTTCTGTTCTGGTGGTAACACTACATTGCTTACAAAAGGGAGAGAGATTTTAAAAATGAGGACAAGTCCAGACTCTCCTGAAGTCAGCAGCATTACCCTTGATTTTGCCAGGGACAGATACCATTCTCAACTTACCACTACTTGTGGAGGAAACTTTGCCTATCTGCTATCTGAAAATAAGTGTTGGACACTTCAGTTTTGTTTATATTCTCCCTTTCTATTCAAGTGTTTGGGTTGTGAGGCTAGAAAGGAATTTTTGCTTTTGCTTGTTTTGGGTACTTAAAAAAAATTAAAATCAAGGTTTTAGTTGGTCTTACTTAGGTTTTCTAAACACTTATTAGATTACTGCCTTATATATTTTGTATAAGTCATGAAGTCCCGATCTGTGATGCCTTTTATTAGAAGTGTATGACTAATATGAATTATACATGGTGACTCACTCACTTGGCTGTCTCAGAAACTGTGTGCGCAAGATTGTAACCCAAAGACAAAAGCAAGGGGAAAAGATGTCAATATTTGGGATATGTTCAGCCACAAGAGGAAATGCAAACCTATTCCCCCCACATTGTTCCAGAATGGATTACCGCCATATGAAAGTACAGGAATTTAAATGCTTCCTTATTTTATAGAAGTGGTCTCTAAGCATCTTGGCTTTTTATTTTTTAGTGAAGTCATTTTTTTTTTTCTTTTTTCTTCAGTTTAGTTAAAAGACGGTAGAACTAAATCTCTCCAGACTTGTTCATAAACAGGATTTCTCAAGATTGGGATTTGCAGAAGTAATTTTTGCTAGTAGGGCCAGATACAATATAAAATGTAATACCTTGTCAAACCAATCGCCCATGAGGAATTAAAAATCTATCACGCAAATGAATATAGCTGTGCTCATCTCATCTAGGATTTGGATTGAGAGGAGCAAGACAGACATTCTTTATTGTAAAGGAAATAAAGTATGATTAAAACTAGCTCCTTTGAGCTGCAGACAAAGTTGTTAATTAAAACACGACGAAGGATTAGATAAAGAATGAAAAAATAGAATGGTCATTAAACAGTATCAAATTCACATGCTGGAAGAACAGATCAGTAAGTAGGTAAATTTGGGGTTTAACTTTTTTGTTTCGTACTTTTTTTAGGGGGTGGAGGGGGAGAGGTGGTGGAATGAAAACATATTTTTTCTCTCCCAGTACACAAGGCAAAGATTAGAGTGAATAGACTATGAACTAGCATTTTCCCCCTCGTGTTATTATATCCCTAGAAATGCAGTCGCATGCAGCAGACCCGAGTCCATCCAGCAAAGAGTAGAGGTACAGATACACAGAAGGGCCCTAATGTGCTCCCCTACCCTGTTGGTGGCTAGATTCCAGTGCAAGAGCAGAGCTAAATATGTTTTGGAAGAGAATAATTATTTTAAAGAGCAGAAAACTGAACTTAAGTGTAGGGCCTTTAGCAAACAGCTGAGTTCAGGTTTGTGAACAGAGAAGAGCAGAGTCTCAAGTCACCATCCTGACAATAATGTGGGGAAAAATAATACATGAGCTGACAAATTCATCAGCCATGGTAAGGGTGGTTATTTAGCAGCCATGCCTGAAGGATGAGCTTGGGATGAAAGCACAAACCTGGGTATAAAGAGACATAAGTTCTATTTCTGGGTCACATCTTTGTCCTTTGTTTTTCTCCACCCTTACTATAGTGTTGAGGCTAAATCCATTAACGTTTACATGGAGGTGTAACTGGTCAAGACTGTGCCTTGCGCATGCTCCCCTCCCCCTGCACAGTCTTTCCTGAGCTGTGGCTCTGGAGGTCCAGCAGTAGACGGCATACAGGGGCAGCAGCTGGAGTTGGCCACAAACTTGCATGTCACATGGGCAAAAAACCTTCCTTTCTTTACATCTCCCTCAAGCAGCAGTGAACTCCAGCTGCTGCTGCTTGACCGAATTAATTTTCCCAGAATGCCATTCACTCACTAGAAAAACACTTCTGGGCTGGAGCTGGAAATAGAAGATGCAAGACAGAAGTGGAACGGGGGTTTGGGAGGGTGAGATGCAGAATATTTGTATCCCCCGTTCAATGCAATTAAATTTGCAGGTAGAAGCCTCTTAGAGAAGGATGAATAACACCACCAACCATTTTGTTGGGTTTAAACTGAAGGTCTTACTGCTGAAAATCCAGTGACTTGTTGCTTGGAGTTAGTTTAGTTTCTAGTTCTTTCTCCATAGCTGGTGAATGCCTGGCTCAGTGGAGGTCCTCGGCAAAACTCCAGTTGGGTTCAGTAGGGCTGGATGCATCTACCTTAGCCTCAGAAGAAAAGTTCAGGCTTTTTAAGCCCTGCCCTTGGCCAGTGCAGGTTATTTACATACAGTGTTGGTATCTATTGAAAGAAAAATTCAAACTAAACTCAGTGCCTGCATCCCATGGCACATTTAGAAGCAGATACCAGTAATATTCTTTATTTTAACTGGTGTGCTGGTAAGTATGACTAGCTGAGTGGCAGTCCAATTCAAGTCTGGTAGTGCTAGGGAGCAATCTGCTTTTTAGCAACTCACTCATTGGAAATGTCATAGGTACAATGCTTTTTACAGCCAACTCAGATTATATGCAGATCCCGTTTTCTGTATGATGGCTGACATGTCGCCAAATAGTCTTACTTTAGCCCCTCATTAACAAGTGTCCACATCACAGAGACCACACTTGGAGTCAGTACTTTGTGGCCTTCTCAGTCTGGTATTCTCTCTCCACGGCCCATTTAATCCTTGCACTCCAATCTCAGCCCACCAGAACGATCCGTCCAAACCGGGGAGCAGCCAGGATGCTTACTTTGTTGTACTGTTTCTGGGAGGATTTTGTCAATCTGACATTTTTTATGAACGTTAAATCAACTCATTTTTAACTGCACTATTTTAGAAACTCTCATTCATTTGAGAGAGATTAACAATAGCATTTGAGGAGATTTTTTTAATGACATGATTTGGTCAGTATCAATATCCATGGTTAGCCAAACATTAAGTTTTATGTGATGCTGTGCCTTAACATCTCAATAAAAATAATTGAATAACCATTGTTTTATAAGTCTATAAACAGATTTCTCTCTCTCCTTCTAGGTCTTGGAGGAGCCCTGGGTTACCTTACAGGTGCTATAGACTGGGCACATACTATACTAGGAAGATTTTTGGGATCAGAATTCCAAGTGATATTCTTCATTGCTGCTTTAGTTTTCCTCATCTGTCTTACTGTACATTTGAGCAGTATCCCTGAAGCCCCTCTCAGAGATGCCAATGCAGAAACCAAGTTATTGCTGAAGGTGGATGAGCCCTACGAATATGGTTCCATTGTGAAAGTCAAGAATAGTTACTTAGAATCAGGATATGCTGAAATAAGGACCTTGCCTGATTTGGGAAAATCCACTGAAACGCCACATACTGAGGTAAATACAGTAATCATTTTATAGCAGTTAATGTTCTGTGTCACGAGGCTTTATGGGGCTGGGATTTTTAAACAAGACATTTGTATTGGAGAATGCCAGTTCACTGAAACTGGAATTTTCTGTGCAACCATATCAACCTCCAGACAACAGAATCAGTATCTCTCTCTCTCTCTCCCCCTCCTTCTTAATGTTTCATTATTTTTGTACAACCCACCCTGACGGCAGTACTAAGGCCAGGTTCAAACTTGGGAGGAAGGTTGACTTAAGCCCCCATCCAGAAGCCTGGGAAGATCAACCTTTATTGGGGGTCCTGAATGAACAATGTCCCCATTTGCAAGGAATTTTGTAACAAGCAAGATACAGGCGTTTATTAAATGGAAATGAAAATAACTAAACCTTATCATAGAACCATATCATACACCACAGCTATAAAGCATCCCAGCTATTAAATACCCTAAACATCATTTTTTTTCCATGTATTAAATATCTACAATCCAAAATGCCACAAATATTAATTGCCCCAAATGTTAACCACTTTAAGATACCAAATACCCTAAACATTGATCCCCTTGTATATCGGACATCTCAGGGTTTTCTGGGTGTAGTCTTTATCTGAATCCCTCCACCACTGGGGAGTTACTGGAAGGACTGCTGGATCCTTCCAGAGCAGCAGCAGCAGCTCCCAATGCTGATCCCGAGAGGCAGTGGAGACCCTAGTGGCACTTCTGGAGCCACAGCAGGTGGTGCATTTCAGTGCCACCCTGAAGCAATGGAGCAGCAGGAACCCCAAGTAGCACTTCCGGGGCAGTGGCAAGTGCACAACCTCCGTACACCAACCCCTGCAGCAGCCACCCTGAGACGTGAAAGACAGCGCACCCCAGCCAGACTCATGTCTCGCCTCTCCTTAGGCTGTGGGCCATCCATTGCTGGCTTCTGCCCAGGTCAGCGAGTGCCACCCTCCTGGTGACCACCACACAACCTTCTCCCACAGTCTGCGTGTGCCTTTCAAGTGAAAAAACTAGGGGAAGGAGGACTAGTGACACATGCAGATCTCACCACTGACAAAGATTTATGACCCTTCTGGCCCCTTACATTTAATCTTTTAGGGCACAAGTCAGGGAATAGCACAAACAGGTATCCAGGTGCAAAAGGTTAAGTACCAAGTGAGGGTATGCAAGTTTTGGAGCGCATACAGCAGATCACAAGATATGTAGATATTGATATCAGTATCTAGATCCATCTATCTAATCAAGATTATGCAAGTGAGCGCGTGAGTGAGACTAACTCTAGAGTGGGGGGAGGCAATTATTTGGGCTGGAGGACCACTTATGGAGTTCTGGTGAGCTGTTGCAGGCTGGGTCAGTACCCCAGCCCCTCAGCCACTGCTGGCTCAGCACAACCCCCTCACACCCACAGCATCTCACCAACTACACACAGCACAGCCCAGGCTGCTCCTGTGCCTGAGGTGGGTGGGGCCAAGGGACCTGCCACAGGCTGGATAAGATCCCTTGGTGGGCCTGATGTGGCCCATGGGCCATATTTTGCCCACCCCTGCTCTAGAGCCTGCTGTGTCCATAATCCTGGGCTTGAAGGAGACTCAGATTCAAGTCTCTGCTATGAATTGAGTAGAGCAAAGATACGTACGAGGGTCCCTCACATTCCAGGGCAGAGCTGCAACCGACTGATGGCTGGCTGTTTTGCAGGATTAGGGGGTGTCTCTCTCCTTCACTCCCCCAAAAATGTTCTGTGCATTTAGTTTTTATCTCAAACAGACATAAATTCTGACCCCAATGTCTAATCCAGGTGCTCCAGAATAGTCCCATGGAAGATAACTATTTCAGTTTATAAGCAGCAGAATTTGTAAAAGCTAAAGCTCCAAGTTAGTCAGAGACAGTAATTTGGATTCAGCAGAACTTGGTTTTTCATCCTAAACTCCTCTTCTGACTGGTTATATAATGAACTTGAACAGGTTTGTTAGCTACTCTCCCTGAGTGTCCTTGCATGGGGTTATAACAGTTTATCACTTTTAGATGAGATCCGTAGATGAGAAACACAAAGCATATTCCAAGAGCAAGAGCAACTGCTTTGGTTAAATCTGCCTGAGTGTTTCCAGTCTTAGCCTCTATTTTCAGGCACTCAGCTTTCTGGATTAAAATTGTTAATTTGACAACAGATGTAAATAATTATGGAACAGAATTTCAACAGCCAAATGGGAGAAGATTTGACAGTGAATAATTTCTAAATGCAGAGAAGAGCAGCTTGGCATAAAGAAATATTACCAGCTGTTTTAGAAGTGACTTTCGTTGTCTCTATTGATGGTGTAAGTAGCTTGCATGGATTTTAATACTGGACAGCTTTTGTGGGCCACCCAACAAGAATCAAATCCCACATCTTGCTACCTTCCATAGTACCACAGTGCATTATAGTGTCCTGAACTCCTGCTGCAGCTCCTATGGAAATTTTCCACTGGAAGGTACAGTTTCAACTGAAGCCTTTCAGGGTCTAACATCACATAGGGTAGGAAGTGCTAGACCCAGAACTACCTTCTGGTATGTCTGCACAGCTGCCATTCAAGTCAGTGGCCCTTATATAGTCAGATACTTATGGAAAACTCTTGTGGTTCACTGCTGTAGTGAACATGACTGCAGTACTCAGAGTAAGGTCAAATAAGTCTTGACATTACTAATTTTGTTCTAAATGCTGCTCACTTGTACACCAGAGGCAAGTGCTTTGGAACCATTGCTTGCAGTATGGCTCTAGCAAAGTTCTTGTATAGTAGCAAGTACTAAAGGATTGGAAATGGGTGCGTATACTTTGTGCTGTTGACAGTTTTAGATTCATGGTAAGTTGGAAAATGACTTGAGCCGATTCCCTCTGAAAAATACTTGGATTTCATCCTAAACAGAGTCTTCTATATTTGCTGTTTGGTTCAACTTGAATTGTGTAGAATTCTGACTGCATGTTTGCTAGGGCTGTGTGAAATGGCACTGTTCCATCCAGACTTCAGTTTTGAAGTCTGGATGGAACAGTATTTCGTATCGAATATAACTTCAAGTTGAAACAGCCTCACTGTTTTGCTTTATCAAAACACTGAGGCTGTTTTGACAGACCATGGGGCTGGGGAAAGGAACTCAGCCCAGCTGGGCTGAGTTCTCAACCCCAGCCAGGCCCCAGAAGGCAGCTCAGCTAGGCTGACTTCCCAGATAGCTGCTTCCCCACCCCTGGTGCAATCTAGTGCGGGGGATGGCGAGGCAGCTCACCTGGACTGACTTCCCGTCCCCAGTGCTATGGTTGAAGCGTTTTGGCTAGCCTAGTCTTGTTTCGAGGCTATTTCAATGGCCTTTGTCTTGTTTAGATTTTGCTGTTTAGACCTTGAAATGAGTCGAAACAATGTCAAAACAAAACAGCAGTCAAAATTTTGCACAGCCTTAATGTACATTAGTATTTGATTTTGCAGACAAACATGTGTAGCAGGACTGTGCCCCAGGGGCAACTATGATGCTCCCTGTTAGCTACATGACTCCTGCTCCCACTCTGGCTCCTTAGATTACCCTCCCTCTTCTGTACCTGTTGCGCCTTGCCAGAATTATTATGGTGTTAAAGGCTGTCCCACAGTCCCAGAATGAGCCCTAGTTCAATTTAGCCAGTTGGCACCTCTCATACCAAGCTGACCCCAGTCTTGCCCCTTGAGCACCAAGTTCATAGAATCATAAAAAGTTAGGGTTGGAAGGGACCTCAGGACATCTAGTCCAACTCACTGCTCAAAGCAGGACCATCCTCAGCTAGATCATCCCAGCCAAACCTTTGTCTAGCCAGGCCTTAAAAACCTCCAATGATGGAGACTCCACAACCTCTCTGGGTAACCTGTTCCAGTGTTTTACCATCTTCCTAGTGAGAATTCTTCCCAATACTCTAAGCTTCCCTTACTGCAAATTGAGACTGTTGCTCCTTGTTCTGTCATCTGTCATCACTGAGAACAGTCTAGCTTCATCCTCTTTCAAATCCCCCTTTGGGTAGTTGAAGGCTGCTATTAAATCCCAACTGTTTCCTCTTGTCTAGACTAAGTAAGCCTAGTTTCTTCAGTCTTTTCTCATAAGTCATGTCCGCCAGCCTCCTCACCATTTCTGTCACTCTCTGTTTTGACCCTTTCCAATTTGTCCACGTCCTTTCTGTAGTGGGGGGCCCAGAACTGAACACAGTACTCCAAATGTGGCCTCACCAATGCTGAAGAGGGGAATAATCACTTCTCGTGACCTGTTAGCGACACTCCTACCAATTCAGGCCAGTATGCTGTTAGCCTTCTTGGCAACAAGGGCACTGTTGGCTCATATTCAGCTTATTGTCCACTGTAACACCCAGGTCCTTTTTCTACAAAGCTGCTGCCCAGCCAGTTGGGTCCCAAGCCTGTATTGGTGCATCGGATTGTTCAATCCTAAGTGCAGGACTTTGCACTTGTCCTTCTTGAACCTCATGCAATTTCTTTTGGCCCAATCCTCCAATTCATCTAGGTTACTTGGAATCCTAGCCCTACTGTCAGGCATATCTACTATTCCCCCTAGTTTGGTATCTTCTGCAGACTTGCTGAGGGTGCACTCTATGCTGTCTTCCAGGTCATTGATGACTATATTGAACAAAACCAACCCCTGGGGCAGTACACTTGATACCAGCTGCCACCTAGACATCAAGCCATTGATTACTACCCTCTGACCTCAATGCTTTAGCCAGTTTTGTATCCACCTTAAAGTCCATTCATCCATTCTGTACTTCCTTAGCTTGCTTGCAAAGCTATGGCCTTCTTAGTGCCTCAGGGCACCCGTTAGCTCAGGGGTAGGCAATTATTTTGGGTGGAGGGCTGCTTACTGAGTTCGGCAAACCATTGAGGGCCACATGACAGGCATCCAGGGGCAGATAAATACTAATTTTCTAAGTGTTTTTTTTTTTTTTTTTTTTTTTTAGGGGGCTTGTGGGCCAGATAGAATGGCCTGGTGGGCCACGTCCAGCCCGTGGGGCCGCATTTTGCACGCCCCTGTGTTACCTTATAGGCTATACTTGTGGCCTCTGGCCTCCCCTGTAGCTGTGCCTATGCCTCACAGTTATTACTTTATGTTCATTTAGAGCCCTCCCCCACCTGAATGCAACTGCTGGCTCTCAGGCCTTGAACCTTTGTTCAGGTCTCAGCCTTCCTGGAGTCTACCCTTTATTCTGGCTGTGCCCCTCAACCCAGGGCCACTGCCCTGGACTTTGGCTTCTGCATCCCAGCCCTGTCTTACACTTGTACTCTTCAGGGCCAGACTAGGCACCTGGCCCTACTTGCATTCTTGCTTCAGACCAGTTTTCAGCCCTCTGGGTCGTTGATGCCAGTGTGGGTTGCTCTCATTGTATCAACCTTCAGCCCTCTGGGTCTCTGACCCTGGCTAGGGTGCCTCATCAGGCACCCCTCCATGGCCTCCTTATCTCCTCCCCATAATGACAACTCAGTCCTCTAATCTTCAGCTTAAATGCAACATAAACACAAGCAAGCCATTTTACAATTGAAAAGTCTCTCTACTCTGGGTTAATGTCCCCATAAGTCATACCTCCCTTGTAGCCCTTTCATTCTGGCTTACTTAGGTGTCTGGCAAGCTACTTCCTACAGCCCTTCTCTCTGAGGAACTCCTCTCTCTGCAGCACACAGGACCAGACTGCTTGCTTGAGCTTAGGCACTGAGTTTGTGTGCCCCAGAGCCCCACCCCTTCCTGTCACATGGCTCCCTAGCCACACACGGGTTTCCACTTGGGCGTGATGACCGGCCTGCCTTCCTTTACTGTAGCAGTAAGCTGCTCTCCTCTCTTAAAAGTAACAAGGGCCTGGGTCTCCTGTTACATGTTTGTTTTCCACAATCAGCAAGGAACCGATGAGCTGTTTGCTTTGTTTCCACTTCTGATCTGTTGCAATCATGTACAAGTATCTCCGGTTGAACTCTTTAGAAAGGAACTGAACCCTACAGCCCAAATGTTCAGATCTGGGTGCTTAAAACAAGGCTCCTACATAAAATAGAATCTAGTATGCCTTGCTTTATATTTTAGTAGCACCCACAATTGCTACTTGCATTTCATTGTGCTAGGTACAGGACAAGGCTGGAATTGAAGATGAACCCAGAAAGAAGAGAAGACCAGATGAGCAAAGGAAAATATGTAACCCGCAAGCAATTGGTCAGAAGTGTGGAACATAGCACATTACAGTGTTGCCTGAGGCCAGTCCTCACATAACGAACCCCCATCATCTCCTCAGCCCAGGTGCAGTAGCTGTCATTTTTTTATCACCATTGCTCACCCTGAGCATCTTCTTCACAATGATTGTAAATCCGAATACCCACTGCTTCCTTTTGTCACTGCTGTTCAAAAAGCCCCACACGTGTCTTAAGAATAGGGAGCAGGTCAGCCAAAAGCAAGATAAGAAGGCTGCATAACAGAACTGGACTGTCAGTCTTCAAGAGCTAGCACCCAATACATTAGAGAGTTCCAGATTGTCCCATTCTTCTCTCCTACCCTTTCCCTGAGGCTCACAGCCTGCTTATGCATCTCCTGTTTCTCTGGTATGCTTGGCTAAGTATAAAAACCTGCCACAAAGGCATGTATTCATCCAGTACTTCCAAAGATCTGCTGGCTGTCCCTTGTGCAGTACTCATTCTATGCTTCCCAAGTACTTTGTTGTAATCACAACCTTGGATAAATGGTTTTGAGAAAAGCATCTGCAGCTCAGGGTCATACTTGTTCTAGCTGGACAACTATGCTCTTGCATGTTAATTGCCCTCACCATTTGCACTGACCAAGACCCAGATTGGTTTTGGTCTCCATTAAAAAAGATAGACTTGGACCACAACTGCAGTTCTTTTAGCTTAAATTGATTTATTCGGTATATCAAATATTGACTTATTGAAATATTACAGACAGTGAAAACTAGAAGAATGGGTGAAAAAGTAGTTAAATATTATTGTTTGACTAAATGCTAAAATATCTAAATCCACAAAATCAGAATAAATATGAATTAATGAAACACTTGTACATTACTTTAAAAATACATCTTTTCCTGAACGAGAACAGGTTGTATTGCTATACCCTTTGCAAATAGCAACAAAGAGATGACACTGAATTAGCCAATCTTGTTAGGAAGGTGTGTTTTTTCTAAGATGAAATACTCTAAAAGTGAGGGTTAGGAATCTTCTGAATCAATTCTAGGTTATTAGTGGTGTATAATTTAGCTTAATGTAAACAGACATCTGAACTGATTGTACAATTGTTCTTTCACTTGTTGCCAGATTACTCCGTGCCTCATTCTATAACCTTTAGTAATGTTCTGTAGCACTTATCCCCACAAATAATCTCTTTGCTTCAAATTAAATGTCAAATTAATTTTCCTGAGAGCTGCTGGTTGCTCAGCACTTCTGGAAATCAGGCTATAGTTTAAATTTAGAGCAGTAGTTTCTAACCTTTTTTAGACTCAAGGCACCTATGGATAAATTCCAGGTATCCCTTGGATAACATAATCTCTTAGTTTTCACTTTTTTTTTTACTACAGTAAAATAATAGAGATATTATTCTGTTATGTAGAATTCAGAAAATCACAACAGGTTAGAATGTTTTTAACGGTATGAATTCCTGTTTGAAATCTCTGGATTTAATCTTACGGATTGTGTTTGCACACCTAACAGTGTTAGTATTGCCTGACACCCCTCCATACCCCTAAAAGGATCTTAAGGCACCCCAAGGTACTATGGCACCTTGGTTGATAATCATTAATTTAAAAAGATTTAGGATCACAACTGTAGATGTCCATCTTTAAAATATGACTGTGTCTGTGTCATATGTATAAGTGTATATGATACGTGTTGTCTATGCTATATTATATATACATATTTTCATTTCCACTTTTAAGAGTCAACATCAACTATTTTTGACTACTCAACCTCATATTCAAATAGTTACAATAGCGTGCTGTATACTTTAGTTAGCTGATGATGTTTATGATTTGATTACAAAGAGTACAAGCAACAATACTTTTACTTGCATTAATAATGCAGTGTTTAATTCTTTCTATGACTTTAATGTAACAAAAGCCTTATCTCATTTAATCAGCATTTATGCCAAAAGAAACAGCACTAGCAAGGTAAAAGTCGGCAACTTGAATTTTGAAATTCCTTTAAGGATTTAAAACTTCACTAGAGAAAAGTCTTGCTGCTGTTCAAAGCTCAACACACAGTGATTATCCCCAGACTGGCTAACAGCATAAACAAGTTCAGAGAAAAGTGAGTTATTAAAAAATAGCTGGAGCATGGCAACCAGGATGGGGTATTATCAGCATAAAACAACTTGAGGGCCAAATTCTGAAACAAATGGGAGTTGTGCACTCATGAGACCCAGGCCAATGCTTTTAGTGATTTACTAAATTTCCTCCAAAATAGGTTTTGGATCATTCCCAAATCATTTGCAAATGTTGGTTGAACTTGCCAAATCGTTTCAGCTGGGGAAAAAAATGGAGGCTTGTTCACAGAACGGGTGGAGAATAAAGTGGTGTCCCCCTCCTATCCCCCCTCAATTTGCTTGTCTGAGATGTAGGAGCCCCAGGTTCAAGAAGGCCTCTTCCTTCTTAGGAGAGTTGAATCCTTTTCTTAAACCTTATGAGACAATTACCTAATCTACCAGCTGTCAGATCACTTGTTAACCTTCAAGGCAGCAACACATTTTTGCTAAATGCTTTTTTTTCAGGTTCAGAGACGGATGACCATTAAGTCTCTCCTGAAGGCACTCTTAAGCATGCCGTCCCATTATCGCTGCCTGTGTGTGAGCCACCTCATTGGATGGACGGCCTTCCTGTCTAACATGCTTTTCTTCACTGATTTCATGGGGCAGGTAAAATACATAACATTCCCCTTCCAGCACCAGCCCCCAGGAAGCAGTCCTTTGAGAGGATTGGTTTATATATTTGCTTAAGGAGTGACAATGCCAGAGTAAATAACGCCTAGACTGGCTGAATGAGTTTTGTCTAGAAAAGAGATGAATGCCCTCAGGGCCTCATTATAGAACTGAGTTGGTGACTAGTAGGGGAAAAAAAATACCTTCCTGCCTTTGAACACTAAGCTCTGCTGCAAAAGTGTAATACTGATTTTTAAATGTGACCTGGAAGGACATCCGTTTCCTTGTAAGTGTTTAGAACAAAGCTCAGAGAACTCTTGCAAATCCCTCAGATCTATGCTTTGGCCTTGGAGCTATTCAGTGAAGAGCAGGTGTCCTAATTAAAGTCTTAGTGAGGCTGTTTTAGTTCCTCTTTCTGAAAGAGGCTTCATCGCGGGGCACTGGACCAGTTGTCCACACACACACTTCATTTAGAACAGTGCTGTCCAACTACATGCAGCTGGAGAGGGCTTAATTTGTGCCCCTTGGGTTTCTACACATTGATCTGGCAGCAGCAGCACCTGGGGTCTTTGGAGTCTCCCACCCTCCTATATCTTCCTTTTTCTGGCCCTGCCCCCTTGACAAATTCAGGGTATCTGTGTGGTGTGGTGCAGTGGGAGAACCCATGGCCAAGGACCTGAGGGTAGAAGCCAAGGCTCCTGTGCATGGGGTGTAGTGTGCAGGATTAGGAGTGGGGAGGCCATGGCTTATGCTGGTGTGATCCAGGCACCATATGGCCCCACTGGTGTAGCCTTCCCACTGTGCTGACCCCAGTGGTGCAGCCTGCATGACATGTGGCCCCCACTGATGTGGCCCATGTGGCATGCAGTCCCTAGCCACTTAACAGTTGAACAGCCCTGATTTAGGAGATGGAAACTCAGCAACATAACTTCCCTAGGGTAGTGTGACACTGCTCTCACCATTTAGCTCAGCTCTCTGTCTTTTATTATTGGATTTTCCCTGCCCTGTAGTCTAGTCTGTGCTGCAGTGTCTCCTCTGGAGAAATGACCTCAGCTCTCTGCCACCCATGAGTCCTTTCCTTCACGATACCCAGTCATCAGAGCCATGGCTCCCCATGCCCTACTCAAGTGGCTATCTTTGCTTCTTGCCTCCCTGGCCCTGGCTACTTCTCATTCTTTAGGTTCCTACTTGCCTCCAGCCAAATCCCCTTCTCTCAGTTATCCCAGCACTTTCTGCTTAGCAGCCCACCTTTTCCTGGCCCTCAGCCCTTTTATAGGACTCCTAGCTGAAAGGGAGATAGTGTTTCTGACTATGTGTACATGTGAATGAATAAGAGAGTGGGAGAATAAATCAAAGAAGGAGTCTTAGGAAAAAGTGGATGGAAGTGTGAATGGCGGAGGTGAGTGCAAGCATGAGTCTGAAGAGGATGAATAACTGTAGGCAAGAGTGTGGGTGGAGCAGGGCAAAGGGGAAGGAGCAGGTGGGGCAAGAGGGGAAGAA